CGAGGAGGCCCAGGAGCGCGAAGAGGAGGAGTACCGGCAGAAGGTCGGCTCGCTGCAATTCGCGGCGACGACGACGAGGCCGGACATCGCGTTTGCCTACAGCAAGCTGGGGAGCGGCCTCACGGTGAGGAGCGATTAGCATTGGCGCGAGGTCGACTGCTGCCTCGCCTACCTTGCCGACACCCGCGACACCGCCCTGGAGTTCGGCGGTGGACCAGAATCGTTGGAGCTGATTGGCTACGTCGATGCCGACGACGCGGGCAACAAGCAGAACCGGACGAGCACGGGAGGCTACGTGTTCGTCTACGGAGGGGCCGCCGTCTCCTGGTCGAGCTCGTGCATCAAGTGCGCGACATTGTCATCGACCGAGTCGGAGTACGTGGCGGCCACGGATGCCGGCAAGGAGGGGCGTCGACTTCGCTTCCTCCTTGCGGAATTCAAGTTGCTCCACGCTGAGAAGCCGACCATATTCCGCGTCGACAACAAGTCGGCAATCACGGTCGTTGAGGGCTTGGGGCTCAGGAGCAACCTCAAGCACATGGAGCGACGTTACGCCTGGCTGCAGCACATGGTGAGGCATGGGAAATTTGTGCTGAAGTACATCCCAACCACTGAGCAGCCGGCGGACTTCCTGACGAAGGCGCTGCATTTTCCGGCTTTCAACTGGTGCTATGTCGCCATCGCCCAAGTTCGTCTGGTCGACGACGGCGATGACGAGGTGCAGCAGTAGGCGTTGTGCCCTTCTGCACGGCTGGTGCGGTGATGGCGTGGTATGTGTGGGGTGCACGCCAAGGACGAGTTTTCTCCTTGGAGTACTGCCGTGTGGCCTAGAGGCCCAAGCATGAGCGCGGCAAAGGGAGAGTTAACAGGAATGGATTATTGACCCCGCCCTCGCTTGGGCAACGCCGACGACTTGGTCGGATGTATGGGAATAGCAGTCGACCGTTCACAGTGGGAGAGTTGCTCAACAGGCATCGTCGAGCTGCAAGGGACCGTTGTTGTGCTGCTGTCGACCAGGGAGCTTGACAGCTGCAACTGACTGGGCTTGACGACGGTTGGGCCGTCGATCAGGAGGGGCAGTTCGACCGGGATGTCGACGGAGCAGTCCGTCGACCTGACAAGTGAGCACCGGTCGACGAGGGGAGCTTGGTGACAACCGCTGACGGTTCTGGTTGACGAAAGTGGTCCGTCGATCAGGGGGTTGCTTGACGGGAGTTGTGGTCGACAAGAGGCACCTGGTGGTCGATCAAAAGGACCCAGTGGTCGACTAGAGCATCTAGGGGTCAACCACGCCGACTTGGAACATGTTCGACGAACGTCGTCAAGGTCACAATGGCGCAGGCGACTTCGGACTGGTATCCCGAAGTCGATGTGGCTCGTCACGCGCAGACAACAGCCGACGGATGCCCAACAAAGCAAGTCGGGCCAATCGTGTGCGCACACCTGCGAGCGTGCGTACTGCTGTGTTCTACGAGGCAAAACTGGACAGCCGCTCTCCTACAGCGTTGGCACACGGTCGACCTGCTCTGTTGGCAGGTCGCCCTTGTGCAGTGCTGGCGCGGCTCCTCTACGCAACGTTGGTAGGCGGTCGACCGAGCTGTGCTATCGGTTGACCGGGCTAGCTGCAGGGTTGCTAGGTGCCTGATGTAGTCATTGTTGCCATCTCTTATTCCATCATTCTGTAATCTCGACTTTTCCTAGTGGAAACTCTTGCCGATTTCTCCCGTGAATGCGCAAGAACTAAGGAAGTAAGCAAAGCTAAGATCACCTCTAGTAGTTCGTGCCAACCCCCGTAGTCTAGCTCACTACCATTGTAGAGTGACTCTCCGCAGTTATCCCGTCGTGTGCCTCCTGCAGTAATAGTTCCCTTAGTAGTGAGTACGCGGGTACTCAGATGCGGTTGGTGCGTGTTTTTACGTAATAGATTCCTTTTGCTTCTGCCAGTATCTTTGAATTTCCAGTCGTGAAAAATGGGTCTATACTGTCTCCGTGGGTGAATAGGCCTGTTAGCAGTGGGTTGGTTTGGGCGAGTAGGATGGCGTGGAGTTGGGTGGCGGGGCGGGTGAGTGCGACGGCGATGTTGGACTCACCTTTTTTGTACGTGACCGTGTAGTGGAAGTTGGAATCCACGTAGTTCAACCAGCGGATCTGTCGTGGGTTGAGATTCGGTTGGGCGCGAAGGTAGTGTAGTGATCAGTGGTCTATCCGTACTATCACGTCTGCTCCCGTGAGGTAACATCGCCACACCTTGAACGCGCGCACGATCGCCAGCATCTAGAGGTCGTGTATTGGATAGTTGCGTTCGGGCGGGTGAAGATTGCGGGACTCGTACGCGATTGGCTAGAGGCCGTTCCCAAAGTCCTGCAACAGTACTGCTCCTATAGCAATGTCGCTAGCGTCGGTGACGAGCTCAAACGGACGGTGCGGATCTGCGATGTGATGCACGGGCGGCGAGCACAAAATCTTTTTGAGGGCCGAGAAGGCAGCTTGCTCTTTCTCCCCCCACGTGTACTCAACCCCCTTCCTTAGAAGGTCGGTCGATGGGGCAGTCAACTTCGCCATGTCGGGGACGAACCGTCACATAATTGACGAACCCCAGAAAACTCTGCAACTCGGTCAAGTTGGTCGGCGTGTGCCATGCTTGAATCGTCGCAATCTTCTTCGGGTCTATTTCCACTCCATCAGCTGAAATGATGTGTCCCAAAAACTCCAGTCGGTCATGTAAAAACTCACACTTAAATGCTTTGGTCAGTAGGTGGTTCTCACTAAGTATTTTAAAAACTGCTTCGATGTCTTGAAGGTGCTGTGTTCTGTCGGGGCTGTAAATCAATATGTCGTCGAGGTACACAATGACGCACTTATCTAAAAGCGGGCGGAAAGCTTCGTTCATGGTCATTTGAAAGGTGACGGGGGCGTTGGTCAGTCCGAAGGGCATGACTGTGTATCCGAAGGATCCATAGTGTGTTCGGAAGGCTGTCTTGGGGCAGTCGGGTGGGTTGACGCGAATCTGGTGTTAACCTCCTCTAAGGTCAATTTTCGAGAAAACTCGGGCTGTGCGCAGTTGGTCGATCAGTTCGTCGGCTTGTGGGATGGGGTAATGGGATTTGATGGTAACTATGTTCAGTGCCCAGTAATTTATGCACATGCGAAAACCCCCGTCCTTCTTTGGCGTGAACAGTATCGGTGTTGCGAAGGGCGGCGAACTCGGGCAAATGAACTCCTTTTCAAGCACGTAATCCAGCTGCTTCCTCAGTTCATCCAGTTCGGATTGGGTCAATCGGAACTGTCGCTGTAGTGTCGGCTGTGCCCCCGGTTCTAGTTCTATCCTGTGGTCATGCGGTCGCTAAGGTGGCACTCCCGTTGGCAGATCGTCTGGAAATATTTCACTGTACTGCTTCAGGAGTGCTGCCAGGTGATCCGGTACATCGGCTAGCAGTTTCTGTAAATTCCCCTCTTTGTATGCCGCCTCGACTTCCCGAATGTCAACCGCGTACACATCAGCTCATGCCGCTACGGCGCGTTTCATTGTGACTGCGTTGACACGCACCGACGAAGACTCAGGCGAGCCCCAGCGAGATAAGGCGATGTTGTTACCGTTCACTCGCACGGTGCAGTCCCCCGTCGTCCAGTCGATTCGCGGATTGTGTCTTCGCAACCGATCACGACCGAGTAAAATGTCAGTTCCGTCGAGGGTTGTTGCGAGCATTCCCTAGCTAAACGGGAAGCTACCCCCGCATCGAATCCGAACCCGGTCAACAAGTTCCCGTATCGCCAGTGTGTCAGAACATTATAGCTTATGCTTTTGTGTAGGCTGTAGTGGGGTAGCCCATATGGGGTACAACCCAATTATGGTTAGTACTTGTACCCAACTCTTTCATAGTGCATTCATTCTCGTTCTAGTTTTCTCATGGTATCGAGCAGGTTCCCTCGTGGGAACTGTTCCTAGGGCCCACCAATTCGATTTTTTTTTTCCTGCCCGGAGCGCGCTCAGCTCCTACACGAGTCGCGCTCCCCTCTCTCGACCCTCTCGTGCCGCCTTAGCGGCCCCGTTGCGTCGCGCTAGAGGCCCCGTCGCGTCGCCCTCGCGGCCCCATCCCGTCGCGCCGCCCTAGCGGCTGCGTCCCGCCGCCCTAGCGGCCCCAATCCGCCGCCCTAGCGACCCCGTCGCCTACCCCGCGGCCCCGGCGCTGCCCTTCCCGGGCCCCGACGACGCCCTTCCCAGCCCAGCCCTGCCTCTGCTGGCCCCGTCACCTAGCCCTGCGGCTCCGGTGCCGCCCTTCCCGGCCCCGACGCTGCCCTTCCCAGCCCCGATCCGCCGCTCTGCGGCCCCGTCGCCTACCCCGCGGCCCCGGCGCCGCCTTTCCTCGGCCTTGACGCCGCCCTTCCCGACCCGGCCCAGCCTCTGCTGTCCCCGTCGCCTACCCCGCGGCCCCGACGCCGCCTTTCCTCGGCCCCGACGCCGCCCTTCCCGACCCGGCCCAGCCTCTGCTGGCCCCGTCGCCTACCTTGCGGCCCCGGCGCCGCCCTTTCCCGGCCCCGACGCCGCCCTTCCCGACCCGGCCCTGCCTTTGCTGGCCCAGTCGCCTACCTTTGCGGCCCTGACGCCGCCCTTCTCGGCCCCTACACTGCCCTTCCCGGCCCCGGCCCAGCCTCTACTGGCCCCGTCGCCCACCCTTCCCGGCTCCGGCCCCGCCTTCACGCGGCCCCGCCGAGCTACTGCCGAGCCGCCAGTGCCACCCGAGCCGCCCGAGCCGCCGCGCCACCTGAGCCGCCCGAGCCGCCGTACCGCCGAGCCGCCTGAGCCGCCCGAGCCGCCGAATAGCCAGGCCGCAGTTGCCACCGAGCCGCCCGAGCAGCCTGAGCCACCGAGTAGCCGAGCCGCCGAGCTGCAGTTCCTGCCGAGCCGCCGAGCCGCCCGAGCCGCCCTGTCCGGTAAGAGCAGCGCCTCAGTCATTGCACTGCCATTACCCCACTATTCGCGCTACTAGTCTACTGCTGTCATGGCTACCCCTAGTATCCTCGCTTTTGACGCTGAGGGTTGGGCCATTGACTTTGACGTCTGGGTAGATGACCTACAGCTTTTCCTACAGTGCGATAGGGCAGACGGTCTCTCCCTCTTTGACCTCACCTTTGGTGCCTCTCCTGCCCCTGGTGCTTATGCTAACGCCACTGTTCGCTCACAGTGGGCCACACGCGATGCTACTGCACGTCTTGCTGTGTGTCGCCACCTGCCTACCTCTGAGCGTGCGCACTTTAGCCAGTACAAGTGTGCTCAGACCCTGTACGATGCTGCAGTTGCACGCTACTCCTCCCCTGCCACTGCTGCACTGAGCCGCCTCATGCTACCATACCTCTTCCCTAACCTTGCTGCCTTTCCCACAGTCGCTGACCTCATTACGCACCTCTGCACTAGTGACACTCGCTACTGCGCTGTGCTTCCTGCTGAGTTCTACGCCAAGAACCCCCCCCCCATGTACATCACTCTCTACTACATCGTCACCCGCCTCCCTGACTCCCTTCGCGTAGTCAGGGACCACTTCCTCTCTGTTTGCCCCACCACTCTCACCGTTGACCTCCTCGAGAAGGCCCTCCTAGCAGCGGAGAAGAGCATAGTCGCTGTAGGAGCCTCTCGTGGTGACCCTCGCACCCCCATCTTTGAGGGGTGTTCCCCCTCCCCCCTTTTGCCCTCTGTTGCCTCTGCTGCTGCGGCCGACCTCGTTGGGCTTGAGTCGGTCGGTGCGACGTCTACCCCTAGCGGGAGACGCCGCCATGGCAAGGGCAAGGGGGGCAGGGGCGCTGGATGCGGAGATAACTGCTGCAACGGGAGCTAGACTACGGGCTAGGCACATGTGCTCGTGTGATCTCTACGTTCGTTCACTTAGTCATTTCCTTGCGTTTACGCTTCTTACTTGTTCACGGGGAGAATTGGCAAGAGTTTCACTAGGAAGACATGACAAAAAAGATCCAATAAAGTTGGCAATGCAAGACTACATCAGAGCTAGTATTCAGGTCGGCCAACTGCCAGCGCAGCTTGGTCGACCGCGTTCCAGCACGACTTGGTCGACCGCACTCCAGCAAGGCAAGGTCGACGGCGTGCCAACGTCGCAGGTTGATGGCGTACCAGCATTGCTCACGCAGGACAGCAGTGAACCTGCTTCGCAGGTGCGCGCAAATGATTGGCGTGCAGAGTCTCGTCACCTGCACAGCGCACACACCACGTCAACCTCGAGCTGACGACTACCTCTGATCTGCCACGACGACCTCGGGATACCACCACCGAGGTCGGTCTCGCCAACTTCGCCTGGGCGACCGTCGCACTCCTCCGCAGCACTTCGTCACCCAGGTAACCTGGTCGACCGGGCAACCACATCGACCAGCAGCTCCCGTACGTGCCCGTCGACCTCCCAAGCCGACGACCACCTCCATGTCGACCTCACCATGACGACCACGCCCCTCAGTCGACCTCCTCCAGGTCGACGTCCCTTCTGGTCGACGAGCTCCACGTCGACCAGCACTAAGTCGGCCAACACAGTTGTCAGCCGACCACCCACGTCGGCCACCCGAAGTCGGCGTCACGAAGTTGACGTCACCAAGTTGACGTCCTCCGCAGGTTGACTCCTAAGTCGACCTCCCCGAAGTTGGCGCCACCCTGAAGTCGGCGCCCGTGCAGTGGTCCCCGTGCAGGTCGACCTCCTCGTCAACCAGCTCGCCCACTGCTGCAGGTTGGCTGCTCCCCTAACACCCGACCACGATGTCGGCTCCGCTCAAGCGAGGACGTGGCCAACACACAACTCCCGTTGACACTGGAGGAGCTAGCGGGGGCGGTGGAGGCGGCGGTGGAGGCGGCAGAGGGAGTGGGGGTGGCGGTGGGGGTGGTGACGGGGGTGGAGGTGTCGGTGGCGGCAGTGGAGGCGGAAGCGGCGGAGGCTGCGGTGGCGGTGGCGGTGGGAGCGGAGGTGGCGGAGGTGGCGGCGGTGGAGGAGGCGGTGGCGGAGGAGGTGGAGCTGGTCAGGGTGGCGCTGCGCAGAGGGTTGGCTCCGGTGGTGGTCAGCAGGAGCAGCAGCAGCAGCAGCACCAGCAGCACACTCATGACATCCCCCCCCCTCAGCAGCTCCGAGAGTGGTACGCTGCGCGCCTGCGGGGTGGGGGTACTGGTCCGTGCACCTACGTCCTATGTCAACGGGAGTTGGGTACTGGCCCCGTCCTCGCTTGGGCGGAGCCGGCTTCATGGTCGGGTGTGAGGGGAGCAGCCGACCTGCAGCAGTGGGTGAGCTGGTCGACGAGGAGGTCGACCTGCACGGGGGACCACTGCACGGGCGCCAACTTCAGGCTGGCGCCGACTTCAGGGAGGTCGACTTGGGAGTCGACCTGCGGAGGACGTCAACTTGGTGACGTCAACTTGGGGAAGCCGACTTCGACGGTCGGCTAACGGACTGCTGGTCGACCTGTTAGTGGTCGACTGTACTTGGTGGTCGACGAAAGGGGGGCCGACGTCGACCTCGACTCAGGACGCCGAGCAGTTGGGCGTCGAGTAGCGGGGCGTCAACTTCGTGACGCCAGCCTCGGGTGGCCGACGTGGGTGGTCGGCCGACGATTGTGCTGGTCGACGAGGAGCAGGTCGACCAGGAGTGCTGGTCGACGTGGAGCTGGTCGACCAGAAGGGACGTCAACCTGGAGGAGGTCGACCGAGGGGCGTGGTCGACCTGGTGAGGTCGACCGGAGGTGGCCGTCGACTTCGGAGGTCGACGGGCACGTACGGGAGCTGCTGGTCGACGTGGTTCCCCGGTCGACCAAGTTACCTGGGTGACGAAGTGCTGCGGAGGAGTGCGGCGGTCGCCCAGGCAAAGTTGGCGAGCCCGACCTCGGTGGTGGTATCCCGAGGTGGTCGTGGCGGATCAGAGGAAGTCGTCAGCTCGAGGCTGACGTGGTGTGTGCGCTATGCAGGTGACGAGACTCTGCACGCCAATCATATGCGCACAACTGCGAAGCAGAGTGCACTGCTGTCCTGCGTGAGCAACGCTGTCACGCCGTCAACCTGCGATGTTGGCATGCCGTCGACCTTGCCTTGCTGGAGCGCAGTCGACCAAGTCGTGCTGAAAGCGGTCGACCAAGCTGGGCTGGCAGTTGGCCGACCTGAATGCTTGCTCTGATTTAGTCTTGCTATGCCAACTTCATTGTACCATTGTTCTGAACTTTTCCTAGTGGAACTCTTGCCAACTTTCCCCGTGAACTAGCAAGTAGTGTGCGCACAAGGAAACAACTAAGGAACAGAGAACGCACAGATCACACGAGCACACGTGCCTAGACCGTAGCCTAGCTCCCGTTGCAGCAGTTATCTCCGCATCCTACGCACCGGCGACCGCGCGGGTGAGCAGTGTGGGGGTGCGCACTCCACCCAACGCTGCTTTGGCCGCCTGACGGACGCTTGGCGTCACCAGTTCCCGGAGGCCACTGAGATCCCCCGCTGGGGTGAGTTGTCTAGGGCCGGCGTAGCTATCTTTGACCTTGACTTTGATGCTATTCTTGCTGCCATGTATGCAGTGACTATAAGTGATGAGGATGACTGTTACCGGTGTTTCCCGCCCGACCCGAGCATTGAGACTGCTGCTCTAGGTACTGGTGAGGCTGGTGCTCTAGGTGCCAGTGCGTCTGCTTCCTCAGGTGCTGGTGAGTCCGCGCTCTCAGGTACCGAGTCGGCTTCGGCCTCCCTCACCTTCACCCTTGACTCGGGGGCTTCTCGCTCCTTCTTTTGAGACCGCACCACACTCACGCCGCTTGGTCGGCCAGTTGCAGTCTCTCTGGCAGACCCCTCTGGGGATCCTGACCTTGCTCACTTCTCCACTGTCCTCCCGTGTCCGGCGGCTCCCTCTGGCACCCTGTCTGGTCTTTACCTCCCCTTGTTCTCTACGAACTTGGTGACTGGTGCTGACCTACAGGATGGGGGAGTTCACCAGTTCACTTCTGCGAGCCAGCGGTTGACCCACTGCATGGACGCTCGGACAGGCCGACACTTGGCCACGTATACTCGTCGGCCAGGGTCGAGCCTGTACACACTAATCACTGCGTCTCCTTGTGTCCCTGCGTCTGTTCAGATACTTGCGTCGGGTCAGGTGTTTGCTGCAGCGTCCAGGTCTGGTCCTGAGTCTGCCCCCTGCTCGTGTCGCCTCCTGTCTCACGAGACTCTCCTCTGGCACCACCGCCTTGGTCACCCCTCCCTGCTTCGTCTCCGAGGCATGGCCTCCCGTGTCCTTGTCTCTGGTCTTCCCCGGTCCCTCCCTCCCCTTCCTCCTGGGCCTGGCCCTACCTGCGTCCCTTGTGTCGAGGGACGGCAGCGGGCTGCCCCTCAATCCTCCCAGTTTCCTCCGACAGAGGTCCCGCTGCAGACACTTCACATGGACGTGTGGGGCCCCGCCCGCGTCCGTGGACAAGGTCACGAGCGCTACTTCCTGCTGGTGGTTGACGACTACTCGCGTTACACCACAGTCTTCCCCTTACGCAGCAAGGGTGATGTCACTGAGGTGTTGATCGACTGGATCCGCGCAGCTCGTCTCCAGCTCAGGCAGAGCTTCGGCTCGGATTTCCTGTTCTGCGTCTGCACTCTGACAGAGGCGGAGAGTTCTCCTCTGGCCTTCTACGAGCCTACTGTCGTGCACGAGGCATCCGCCAGACCTTCACGCTTTCGGACTCTCCACAGCAAAATGGGATTGCTGAGCGCCGCATTGGCATGGTCATGGACGTCGCCCGAACGTCGATGATGCATGCGGCTGCCACCCATTTTCTGTGGCCGTTTGCGGTTCGGTACGCGGCGCATCAGATCAACCTTCACCCCAGGGTCTCCATGCCCGAGACCTCCCCAGCTTTGCTGTGGACGGGGAAGGTTGGCGATGCGTCTGCGTTCCGTGTCTAAGGATCTTGGGCGTTTGTCCGCGACTTGTCTACGGACAAGCTGTCCCCTTGTGCGGCTCCTTGCGTCTTCCCTGACGCGCCAGGGTGGCAGTTCTACCACCCCACCTCTCGCCGTGTTCTGTCCTCCCAGGACGTCACGTTTGACGAGTCGGTCCCCTACTACCGCCTCTTCCCCTACCGCACTCCGTCCCCCTCCGGTAGACCCCCTCCCCCCTCAAGGTCCAGCCCCTTCAGGGTCGTCCCAGGTAGACGCAGTCGAGCTTGTCGAGGTCACTGGTGACTTTGGTGCTGCTGAGGGTGCTGAGCCTGGGGGTGCTAACTCTGGGGGTGCTGAGCGTGTGGGTAATACGCCTGGGGGTGCTGAGAATGGGGGTGCTGAGACTGGGGGTGCTGAGACTAGGGGTGCTAAGACTGGGGGTGCTGAGCCTGGGGGTGATGAGCCTGGGGGTGCTACGTCTGGAGGTGGTGAGCCTGGGGGTGTGGAGCGTGAGGGGGCTGGGCTTGCTCGTGTGGCGTCTGGCGGTACTGGGCCTGGAGGTTCTCCGGGTGCTTCGTCTCGGCGGGAGCCACTCTCTCCACAGGAGCTGCGCGAGTGGTTTGCCCGGCGCTGGAGGCGTGCTGCTGGACTTGGAGGCTCTTTGGCTGCTGAGGGTGCTGGTGGCGCGGGTCCCGGAGGTGCTTGTACTGAAGGAACTGGAGCTGCAGGGTTGGCGGGTGCGACTGGAGCTGGAGCTGCTGAGGGTGTTGGTGCTGAGACTACTGCTGTCGGTCCTGGTGGCGGTGCTACTGTAGCTGTAACTGGTGCTGCTGGAGGTAGTGGAGCTGGAGGTGCTGCTGGCGCTGGTGCTGCCGCTGGAGGTGCTGGTGCTGTCCCTGATGTGTCTAGAGTCGCTGAGCGGCCTCGGCCGTACTTCGTTCCGCTCCT